TGTAGCAGCATTTTACACTTTGAAGGTGCAAAACGCATACCGAACATGGCAACGCTAGCACTCACTCCAGAAAAGCTTGCAACTTACTGGATCTTCACTTAGCATGACAATGTCGTCTGCATACTCGAGGACAGACAGTCTACTACCTGGGATCAAATAAATGCCGCTATCCTCACACGAGGATAGGGCTGTTTCAGGAATGAAATCTGTGATAAAGTTTCGGATTGGCATCCAGACCGGCCCTCAAACTGCAGCTGAAATGTAAAGTTTCTGTGATCTCAATCTTCGTGTATTCTTTCACTTGTTCCTGTGGAACAACGTACATCGGTCGCACGGGCTTCTGCTTAACACAGAGAGNACAGAGAGTTCCTGAACATCACCCGACTCAGTTTCAAATTGGGGTGACAAAGTCAGTTACGAGCGCAATCTGTTTACACCTTGTCGAGTCAGGTCATTTAGGTGACTTGATCAGAGCGTTTCGTCCCCTATACCAGATCTGTGAACAACAATCTATGCGGATTATTCATCTCACCTTAGCTACAGCGGAAGCAGTGGGAATTCACATCCACAACCCACCCTTGTATGCGCAAGAGCAATTGGGCCCTCCACCCACCCCTCCCAATCTTCGGCAAATCCGGACCAAACACAACACCGGAAACAGTAAACGTTATCTCTATTCCTTCAAGTTTATTAATTTATTATTGTCAGTAATATCTACATCCTCTCGTATTTTATCCGAGTTATATAAATTGTGATGTATTAGCCAAAGAGGACGAATTACTGAAAACAAGTTTTGTTGGTCACATTGTGTTCTATTCAAAAAAGTTAAATAGAAACGGAGAGAGAAGAAAACCCTGACAAGCACCACTTTCTGTAGTGAACTCGGGCGGAAAAGTGTCGTAAGCTCATGCTCGGCTTCGGCTATTAGTATAAAAGGATTGTAATATTGAAATAAACTTCTCGGGGACACCCTTTAGGTCGAGGCAGCACCAGAGTTTAGAGCGGTCGACTAAGTCGAAAGCCCTTTTCCGATCAAGGAGGATAGAAATGGTGGGTATGTGAAAGGAGTGCCTGTGTTCTAAAGCTTGACAAAGAGTCAAGATGTGGTCGATACAACCTCGACCAGGTCTAAAACCAGCCCGATTCTCAGGTGTGACAGACAATCGACGGAGTATAAAGTTTAGAGACGATGGTGATTAAACTAATTCCCCTGTGGTTTTCACAAGAGGACCTGTCGCCTTTCTTGGAAATCAGTACGATCAATATCGATTCACACCACTCTGTTGGAACCTCTTCCCTTTCTCACACCGAACCCAGGAGTTTCGTTAATTCGAAAACCAAGGCTCCACCTTTAACAACCAATGGGGACAGCCCGTCCGGGTCGGAGGCCTTATACCTTTTGAGATAATTTAGTTCCTGGGTAAGCTCCATTTCAGATGGAGGACTGATGTCGACTGACAGTATTTGCACAGTTGAAGCATATATTGGGAGGTCTTGTGTCGAAAGGGCCGGCTAAACTGTGTTTTAAAGTGTTCTGCCAAACGTTCAAGACGACGTTCCTGAATAGGAATCAGTGTACCGTCAGTCTCCTTAATTACTTCACTTTTGCCTAATTTCCTTGAACCCATACTCTAAATTGAACGAAAAAGATTGCGACTGTTAGCCACAGTCTTCTCCATCTCTCTACACTTCTATTATCCACCACTTCTCGCGGTCATTCCTCAGACTCTTGATGGACTGACGTTTAATGGATTTGCCTGCTTTGTCTTCTTTCGCATCAGACGGAATAGCTTTGCGAGCTTCCAACAGGGCAACCGAGGTCGAGGAGATCCATCTCTTTTGCTTTGATCGTGCGCCAGAATTAGCCTTTTGGATCGACGATTGGATTGCTTCCTTGATGGCCATCCAGTGTTCACTGTGTCCTTCAGCTGGAGTTGGAGCTAAAGGTTTTGAAGGCGGATTTGCAACAATTGCTGAGACTGTATTGTGAGCATCCGTTTTTGGTGGCTTTTCAATGGTTGTTTACTAGGCGTAGGGAAAATATCGCTTGTAGCAGAGCATGATATGTGTCCACTAGTATTGATCAGTAAGAAGGAAAGTTTTCAATGGATCCTCGCTAGCGATGGCTGATGGCGATGTGATCGATTTGGGTTCAGCGCTATGAAGAGGTTAGGGTCTCCATGGAAGGCGGCGGCGTTTCTTTGCGATAAGTTGGTGCTTGTCAGGAAAAGATCTGATAGAGCGTGCGGACAATAAATGCAGCTAAATAAAAAGGAAACTTTGGTTTCAAAAATCTGACAGCTTCTGAGTGGTTTACCTTATTTATTGAATGCTGAGTGATATCCCATGGGTGGTGCAAACTGGATGCATCTCCTAAGATTTGGGAGTGAGAAGAGAAACTGGGCACATGAGAAAGAGGGTTTTCCAAATGGGTACCTAAGACTTTGAGGCACTATATACTTCGCGGTAGCCCACGCCAACGAATTGGGTTTCTTGAGGAACCCTAACCGGAGCCTTTGACTCAAAAGTCTGACCCACAAGGCAGTGTGGTGTAGATTCAACGCGGCAGCATGACCGAGGCATCCGTGTGGGAGCTTTTATAGACCTGTCACGCAAGGCCTTCCGATTTCGGTTAAGTGTTTTGTTCGCTTGTGCGTTGATTGACAATCCGCTTTTGGGGATTGGCACCTAGCCTCATGCACTCAGTGAAACAAGCGGGACATAGACGGGACAGTACTTTATTGGCTGGGGGCTACCCAGTTTAGGCAGGCGGTGCGAAGACTTCTGCCATCGTCAGGGAGAAGCCCCAGGTACCCCTTGCCTACGTCCACCTAGCGGGTTTTTTTTATCGGTAAACGGTATCTAATGGTGTTTATTTTCTGGAGTGACTTCTCCAGGGGTGAGAGGGGATAGTCAAAGGAAGCCAGGAGGTGTTCAAGCACCTGACCTTGTGAGACAGCTTCTTCTGGCTTCTACTCATTGGAACTGCGGCTGTGAGGAGCCATTGTGTATAGCTCGCAGGGTCAGGGAGACACGCAAACCATCACACCAAGTAAATGTGCAGTCTCGTCTTGATGGCGGACTTAGCGGAGCCTTTATGTGGTTCGCCACTCTAGGTCCCAGGGCTCCATTTGCCGGTTTCCATCAGCAAACAGCTAGTCTCTGACTATGGGGTCCACCGCGTCTGCTGTCCAAAACACAAGCGTGTCATAAAAAGTACATAAATGTTAGGTGGTAAGGAAAAGGTGTACTTCGGTGGTCAAGTCACAGAGTATTTATTCTAAACATCGCGTGTCCTCCGATATTGCGTCTATTGGGAAATTGAACGGGGAAGGCAAATTAGGACACCTTTGACGGACACCGTTGCTGATTTCGAAGACTCTTCTTAGCTCCACCGATTAGCAGTGGGCGGGTGCAGTAACCCTAGTAGAGTAATAGACTTCTGGTCAATCTGTCGCTCAAAAGCGAACCGAGTAGTTATTTCACGCTATAGTCGTTACTTATACCCGTTTTGATGAAGGTTCATTGGGATCTATCGCTTCTCCCGTAGGACTATTGCTTCCTGAGAGATCCATTCTTTGATAGACTTCAAACCCTTATCCATGAGCTTCGTTCCCTGCCCAAGGAATAACACTTCTCATCCAACCCCATTGTTCATCTGCCTCACTGAGTTGCATAGCTTCTACCTTGTTCCATAGCTTTTCCTCACCGAACATGAATAGCCGGGTTGGACAGACTGATAAGTGGAACTTCTAATGTCAATTTCGTTTCGGACGTAGCCATTCATAATCGTAAATGAAATTAGTTACATTTCTTTGAGTATCGGTCGACACTTTTGTGTATATGAAACTTTTTGCTATCCGAGTTGCTTAACTAGTATAGTTTTGCGCTGTTCTATCCAAAATGTGTAAAAATTGCTAATTAATTTGTATTCAACACCAGTTATATTTCGAATTCAACTTTCGTTGTCAGTCCAGTTGAACCACTAAGGTCCCCCGTATTAAATTCACTCGCTTTCAAGAGTAGTCTTCTGTTTAATGTAACAAATAGAACTAACCGAAGAAAAATGACAAAGCACTTGCACTTTTATTGCTAAACCTAAAGTCAAATATATTTTACACTCATTACAAAAAATGCGTGGGGATTTGTTAATGATGAGCAATGTCGGGATCGTTTGCAGCTGAAATTATTCTTACGAAATTAATTTCGTATTGCTATCCATCTTTTCAATCACCATTGCAAGGACTTCTTGGGCAAGGAAAGAATATGTAATAATACATCTCTTTGTATTTTTCCAAGGCACTGTTAGAATGCCAAAATCTAAAACCAAGGTGGCTCATTTAACAAAATTACGTGTTTTTAGTGTTTAAATTGTGTTTGTGTTTCTAAGCCGTTGGTTCCTGATGTCCTGCAGAATCAGAGGCCAAGAGAGAGAGGCTGAGATTGACACATGTATCCCGTTTCCCACCCAACTCGGAAGATATCTAATGAATCCATAAAAACTCTTGATTGTAAATCTCCTATGAAGAGGTGTATAAACTGGCTTCAGTATATCCCTTTCGCGATGTTCACCGGCTCCGTTGGACATTAGATACATTGGGCATCCTTTAGGTGTGAGCAACTCACAAATGCTGCATCATCCGATTGATTAAACTCCGATCGTAGTGGACTGCGGTATTCACCCAGATTACTGATCAATTTTACCGCTTATTCATCACCATCTTATCATAGGTTGTAAATGGAAAGCTCAGAGGAAATCAAACCCATAACCTCCATCCATCAACAGGTCTCGTTTGCAACCTGATCACGTTTCGAAAATACTTACGACACCATCTCTCAAATCAACCAGTCTCATACTCATCTAAATCAGTTTGTGGTTCTATTGAAGATTAATTTTTGAGTACTAATCCTTGAACATACTGCTTGCGAAAATTTCTCCCATGCAATGCACATAGAAAGGAGAAATACGTCGCTTAAGATCTTTCTCTTACGTTCTGGTAAACCTTGAAAAGCGTGTTCATCGATTGTGTGGAATTGAGAATTGTGAAAAAGAGAGTTACACAGCCATTAGTAGAAACACTGCAACTAGGTGCTACTAGAGGCTCCGTAATCTATGCTTCATATGTCTTCTAATTAGCAACTAATTTGGCCTGGACACTATGGCAGTATCTCACCCACTGGTCAATCACGGACCTTTTTATTTGTTATAAATATTATGGTTCTGTGATTTGTTTGGCACAGTCTGGATCAGACGAATGTGCAATATGCAATATGCATAATTAGTTGCGGAGTCAGAATATCCTTTCTTTTAAATGTAAAAGCAAACCTAGGAATAATTCCCAACAAAACCTAATGTGTTTTATCTTGATTTTTATCCCTTGTTTTGTTTCAGGTCAAAGAGACGGTATTTTTCAATGCGGTTCTCGCTTCCAAAGAATCTCGGGCCAAGTGGCGCGCAACCTGTGTGTGGAAGGAGACAGACCGATTGGCGAATTATTTGCAAGGTCTGTTATCCACCAAAACTAGTCCATTCGCCAATGAGGAATTCAGTGATGCTTCATTAGACGATCCAGATTCCGGACTGGAGAATTCTGACCACATGCATCCGCCTAAAAAATCCCCGCTTGCCTCGCTTCGTGCTCTATTTGAAGATGTAATTGATGCGTTCGATGAATGCGCTCCTCAATTTGCTTCGATAAGGTTGGCCGAAGCCTGGGAATTGCATCCTCCACCGGTCACAAGCCCTAATCCAACACCGGGGGCTGTGCCTCCAGCCGAACCATCATGCAACGGAGATCAACTTGACGGTTGGGAAAAAACAGTTTTGAAGGGAGAAAATCATCTGGAACCGGTTCGTTCCGGGAGTATCAGTCCTGTTTCCGAATTGAACACTCTATCCGGTGTGCCCAGCATATCTGGTATGGGTGACGCCAGTAGTTCTGCTCGAAGCAGCTCCCCACCACGTCCTAGTGATCAGGCTCGTAACTGTGTTCGTTGTATGTGTGGTGCGGAAATTTGGACACAGAAGCCGGCCGTTGCCATCCTACGCACGGTGGCCACTCAAACTCTTTTCACTGGTGATATTATGGCCACTAAATTGTACCATGACGATGCGGTTAGTTAAACAGCTGAACTCAAACAATAATGCTTCTGTGTCCATGTGCAAACAACCTGTGTTTCTCAAACTCCGATCATCAGCTGCCGTGCAATTAAACCACTGAGTTTCTTTTCTGCATCCACTGTTTCGCCATAATTATTTTAATCTCTCAGTGGTTTTTGTCGTCTATGTACCTGTTAATCCTATTCAGACTACAGCCTGTTTGTGTCTCGATGCACTGGTTTCGCGCTGTCCGACATTGTTTTGACGCAATAAGTCATTTTCGAACAGTCGTTTGAGTCGGACACGTTGCTTACACGCAAGAGTTTGACACACCCCCCCACACACACAAGGGCACAAGTACAACTGCAGAAAAAAAATAATTGCCTGTGTGCCGTGTCTGGTCATTCCGTTGAGGAACCCAACACAAGCGATCTTGACTTTGTAGTAGTGATCTGAATTTCCTGTTCCCTTGTTTAGTCTTCATTGTTTTTCTCCAGTGACCCCGTTCTCGAATGTTGCCAGTCGCCGTCTGACTTTTGGTCAGGGTGTTTTACTTTTTCCACTCCTTTTGGGGGGAAATCTCCTCGTGTCTGATCTGTTTCGAAGAATTTCTTTTTTTTCTCGTTCACACGCTCAGTCCAACACAGGACATGACTCAGTACCCTAATGACATCTTTATACAGTATAGTCTTTTTATCTTAACCAGTACATATCTATACTTTTTACCATTGTTTTTCCCACCCCCAGATATCTATTCGTATACATATCAGTTAATATACTCATGTTTATTTCCTACCCTCACTGTCCAGAAGCTGTGCATCGGTTTTGTGCTCTTTGTAGCATTACTCATAATTCTTGTTTTTCGGGTTATTGTTTTCCCCAATCTCGCTTATTCTGTTTCCTTTGTGTCTTCTTTTTTTTCTATTCACATCCTTTCTCATTTTTCGTCCCAGTGGTGATATTTTCCCCCGGACGGATGGAATGGATGCTCACACATGACAAGCCGAAGATTACAATGACGATGAAAACAACGAAACCAAGCGAAATAAAGATAATTCTTGACTGTTCTTGAGTTATTTTGGCATTTTAATGTTGGTTTTATGAACAATATGAAAAAGAGAATGGTAAGATCTCTCTGAGAGTAGAATATTTGGGTAATAATAAAAGCCAATCGATTTATTGTCTGGTCCTCTTTCTTTTCCATGACAGAGAGACGATCCAGTTGCGCTTCCATAGGTATACTCCAAACACCCTAGTGTTTAAGCTTAGGCATTCCATTTCATCATCTTCATTTGTGAGTTTCCCAATCCATCAATGAAGCAGTCACGAGAACGTGACACGAAATGTTGTTGACAAAGTATTGAAAATGAGCCCTCTTACCTCGAGTGAACTGGTTTCGTTTTCACCTGTTCGCGGAGCTTGACGCCTATCTAAAAACATTTCGTCACCAGCCGAGTTGGCATTTCAGTCTTTGTGAATTGGCACTGATGTCACATCAGTTGGTGATGAAACGCTTACAAACAAGATGCCAAGCTTGGTGAACAGATGAAAACGAAAGGTCCCCAGCACCGTGGATATTTTACTCAAGGATGCACTTCCATCTCTTGTACAACCGTTTGCGAACTGAAAGGCGATGGACTACCGTCTCACAGAAACGCTTCTGAGCGCCTCAGTCATCCCAACCGGATTCAGTTGCCGAGCAGCCTAAGTATGACCGCTGCCTACTGAAACGCGGCCGTTTTGGAGCCACATGCAAGGATCAAGAGTTGGTGAGATCCCCCAAGGGACAGTTGGAATTGTTATCACTGTTTCCCCCATCTGTCTCCATCGGTTTTGGCTGGTCATAAGGTTTCCGTAATAGCCAACAGCTGAAGTTTTCTAGAGTCAAGTTAAACGGTTATCACAGTCTATTTGGGTTGGTTCAGCACCCAGTCTCACCCTAACTAGGGAAGTAGGAAAATTTTGCTATCTGGGCAGTTATATCTCACCTGGAGGACCCATCACAGGTGAAGTGTCGGCGCGGATACAAAAGGCTTGGTTGACATTTATCAACTTTAGACATTTGTGGCGACATCTGGCTGTCTGTCGAGTGGATGCTGCAGCAGTTCGGCCAGTGCTGCTCTACGGTGCAGAGACTTGGCCACTACGGGAACAGGATAAGAATAGATTACCGGTGTTAAAACACCGCTGTCTATGTCGCATTGCACGAGTCTGGCGAGGTAACCAGATGAGCAATGCTGAGGTTAGGCATTCGCGGTCGTCCACTGGAGCAAGTGATCGACCTCCATAGTTTACGTTGGTTGGGGCATGTGTTACGCATGTCACCAGATAGGTTGCCGCGGCGAGCGATGTTTGCCAAGGCCGGTAGCGGTTGGAAAAAGATCAAGGGTGGTTAAACTAAGACTTGGCATGAAGGTATGAAAACCCTAACCAAGAGACTAGGTCACATAAGCCCCGTTAAGCTCCCTGGTTGGGGACCTCGGGATAATGGTCACCGATGTTTAGAGACACTGAGTGGTATGGCTGGGTGTCGCAAACATCGGTGCTCGTGCATCCACTCATTATTCCCCCGTCACTATTCTATATGAATTCTCCATCTGCCGCTTGAATTTGCTTTCAACATTCCAATCTTCATTCCACTCTTTTATCCAAATGAGGCACCAGAAGACAGCAACCAAAACTGGCGCACGAAAGTGCATGGTTAATGGTTGTAAAAACTGAACTGAACTGAACAGTCGATTTGAACATCTGATTGATATCTGGGATACTCAGAGAAGTGAGAACATCCTTTTGCTGTGACCGGGTGGAGTTAATGAAACACACCCCATGGATCAATAATGATAATAACGGTGACCATTTACGTTAGCTTTGCTCTATACGTAAATATTATACATCCATCTATCATGAATGGGCCTTTGTTTGCGAGACTGTCAAGTGTAATAGCGTTAATTGTTCGGTGGCCTTGCTGGTGGGTTTCAGTCCCACCAATGGCCTATCGATTCTTTCTGGAAGAGCAAGATAAATAGCGCATCGTCATCTCGAAGATTTTCGAGGATCAGTTATCTATAAAGAACAACACGTGAGAGCTTTAAGCCGGATGGACTGATTAATCCGCGAATCTAATGTTTATCTAACGGTCTGTAGGATTGAATCCTAATGCAGCAATTTGAGTTAGTGACGCTTAATTGTTGTCTCTGCAAGAAAATCTTGTGTACGATAAAGCATGTGAGTTCGTGGAAGAAGTACTTCACTCCTGGGAGTTTTGCCATTTATTGGCCTTTCCTGTGTATTTGCGACCAAATGTGTAAGTCCTGCAGATTAGCTTTTGTTTCGGCAACTGGCCTGAAAGAGTTTATGGTACCACAGACGGCTTTGCCTTAGTTGACAGGGGCTTAATGTGAAAACGAATGTGGAAGAAATAAGACAGAAAAAATCTATGAATAGTGAAAGTTTGTTGATGCTGAATGGAGTATCCAATCGGAATTGTGACTGGTCCTGAAGTTTTATTCGGTATCATCCGGCAAACACTTGCGTCGTGTGTGGCTGCGCGTTTCCTATTAGCTGTTGGGAAGCTAGCATGATCCGGATTGCCACAGTAACCTCAAAGTTCATAGTCGTATGTTTTCATCCATGTAGTGAATATATTGGCTATTGATGTAGGGGTTTGCGGACGCTTCGAAAAGTAGGCTCACTCTTGTAGTATTCATGCGCAGGACGTCGGTTTTCCCATCCAAAGAAGGTTATACTTATTAGGAAACTCATGGTTTCTTACTTCTAAATAGGCACAATTCAGTTCGTCTTTTTACCACCATTCCCAGCAAAGCAAGGTTTTTGCGGCCGATATGGCAAAGTGTTTATTGTGAGGAATTGGTGATTCAAATTATCTTTTCCACTATATGGCCGGTTATCTTTCGTTGAAGAGAGATTCTGATCGCGTCAATTGATTTTGTTGTGATTCTACTCGTTTAAATTAGTCTCTGGTACATCATATATTGATCACAAATATCCAACTAAAGTTATAGATGACTAAGACAATTTCAACGATCAGAATCCAATAGTCTCTTCCCCCGTTTGTTTGGCAAACATCGAAATTTGCTTGAGTTCCAAACATCTTTTTATTGAGATAACAGCTTGAAATGAGCTATAAGACGAAGGTAATGAAAACCGATTGAACAAATCGTGTCAAATCCAACTTAATATTTCGATGAACGTACCAACACTTTATGTCTCAACACGATACACGTGATGCGTTACAGATTGCCTCTCCTTTTGTAAATCTTATCGAGTGTAGTGTAAATTGTTGCAATGTGTACATACGCACAGCTCAACTGTAGCTTGTATGTCTTTCGAAAAGCGAAATGGTCTGATTGATTGCATTGTACATAGTCTTTCCCGGATAATTGTGTCACGCAACCGTTTTCTTGCATGCGAATAAGCTCATGTTTGTTCTACTGTATCACGTGGAGCGTGAGTGAGCGAGCGGATAATCGCGCGTGCGCGCGCGCACTTCCACCTGTAAGGATCAGCTGACTCGCTCATTCTTTTCGCTAGTTATTTGTAATCCGAGGTGAATGGGATGATCAAATAACTCCATAGCTGTTCCATATCTTATGTTCCACCCTTTCTATGGATTACTATTTTAGTCGATTTATATAATTCACTACAGTAAGGTTCATGCTCTCTGGTTTCACCGAAGCACTGCTTGTGTTTTGAGGTAATTTTATTGATGTGCCTCTCAAGAGACTAACGCAGTATTCTGGCGTCCAGGTACTTCATCTGTTTACCCAGACAATCGTTCTCGTAAGCTGTTTATTCTGGATGCATTTTCCTTGATTGATGCCAGGACAGGTTTTTCACAAGGGATCTATCACTGATTGTTACAGACCCTTTGCAAGAATCATTATTTCCTTAATCCATCTAATTAATTCTAATTCACATGCAACTTTGTCCTATCTCTCGAAATTCCACTGTAAATAAAATTTATGTATCTATATTTCACAAATAAATAAATAAAATTTATGGAA